TGGAAAATCATTTGTTTTAAATGGACAGTTGGAACACCTAGGGTGCACATCTTATTTATGCTTCAAGGCAAGCTGTTAATCAATATGTTACAGTCTTCATTAAGAGATTAAACCAGTCAAGTCTCTGCATCAGTCTGTATCATTCACAGTAATGACTGGAGAGTCAAGGGATACACATAGTATCTTCAGGTCTGCCATAGGAATAATAACTTACTAGGAACAAATTCTTACAAACCTTGATTTTGTATGTAGGGCCTTGCTCATTAAGATCAGATTAACTGCACAGTGATCACATTAGAAGTTATTTCTTGTGTTACAATGTCTAAGCATCAATCAGTATAATTACTAGCTATTTTAATTTTCTTGAACGATTTATGAACACAAATCTCCAAAGGCAGTCTGAAAATTCTAGAAAACAGATTTGACATTTGGAATAATGTTGTCATTATAATTTGTCAGACAATGTAAGGAACATGTTTAATGTTCAAAAGATTTCGCAGCTAAATGAATGAAGAAGAATCAATACATTAATTCTTACTTGCAAATTCAGATTTAATTTGCATGCTGAACAACAAGTGAATTTTACAATTCAAATTAAATGTATGAAGTGAAGACCGAAATCTCTCAGTGAATTATAATCTGATCAACATCTACGCAGTTCATTCTATTTAGAATTTTCATTAACAGTTAAAGAGACCCAAATCTACCTGAGCCTTTTTACACAGGACAGGATCTATCAATTCAAGTAACATTGAAGACCCAGACATGGCAATGCTTTATATAACATTAAATCAGGGTTGATTCTATTGAGTTCACCTGGACATTGTAGTTGAGGTGCCAGCTTATGCATTTGTATTTGATTACAACAGAATGTGGTGACAGTGGATCAGGTATAATCATTTATTTTATTGTACATTCAAGTTACCAGTGAAGACCCAAATTTGCCGTAGCATTAGGTAACACTGGTCTTTCCTGCTCAAGCTAACAGTGTAAATCCAGGTGTATGGTTGCAGGAGGTGCAAGTGTATCAGAATCTATGTTATTCACTATCAGTTTAAAAGTGAACATTGTATTCCGAAATTAGCTAGAGCATAATACTGCAGTAGATCAGGGCGTATGATGTTCATTATATTATGAGCTCAAACCAAGATTGGAAACCCAGATCTGCCATGGTATTGTAAAGCAGTGAATGAGGTTCAGAGTTCTTCATCTTGGTTTTACTTTTAGTTAAAAATGGGAATCAGCATATTCCAAAGCCTTATAAAAACTGTGGATCAGAATCCATGCTTATATATATATATATATATATATATATATATATATATATATATATATATATATATATATATATATATATATATATATATATATATATATATATACACACATATACACACACACACATATACACACACACACACACACACACACACACACACACACACAGAATGTTTTATCTACAAATGTTCTTCATGTAAGTCATTGGATTCATCAAGGCAAAAAGCAGTGTGTCAAAATCCAAACCCATGCGTCCCATTCAAGCGGATGATCAGTCTTCAGTAATTTTACAAAAATAATTTTATTATTTAAATACAAAACAAAAAACTTAGTTATATAATGTGACTAAAGCCAATGAAGCAGCATTTCCCTTGCTAAAAGCATCTGAACATTCCATATTTGTTAAAAATTATTTGGATGGTTTCATATCATCAGAAATAATCTGAGCATATATGACAAGGTTTTTTTTGCTGGCTATGTCAGTGCTTTCATCTGCCATTGTTGTCACAAACCACAAATTTTGCAATTTGCATATAAGATTATCCTCAACAATGTTTTGATACTAGACTATACAGTACCTCTGAACAGGTAGTAGCCAAGTCATACTGAACAGTGGAATTCTTTAAAATGCCAATAACATCAGTTTCTTTAGCTGTTAAGTCATGTATTAAATTAAGAAGAGATTTGTATTTAAAAAAGGGATGTCTTTTACACTCAGCCAAATTATACACTTACACTGCACTTTTGCTGCTATATCTTTGTAAAACTGCATTAAGATCTGTCTGGTTTTATGAACCTTCAATCGGTGGTTTGTGTTCTGGCAACCCAGCATGCCTTCCCAGTGTACTGCTCTGCAAGTTATTGTTTTTTCACACATCTGGTCATCAAGGTTTATTTTAGTCTCTGTACATATATGGCAAAACATAAAGACATCTTCACTGCCACATTCTTCACTTAACATCTTTTTGAAAATGTAGGCAGCTGTATGTTTTTAACCATTACTGCACAAAATTATGTTTTATCTTACGAGTAACCATAATTTCATCTAATTTAATATTTTTACCTTGGACACCATTTTCATTCCAACACAGAGAATCTTGGAACAATGCAAAGCATACAGTTGAGCAAATGAAAATTGTTGCTTCTTTGTGCGACAAGGATATGCATAAAATAATAGTTTCTCATGAGAATCACTGTAAAATCACATTTATATTTTGTCTCTTCCTTGTGTGTGGTGATTTATGGTTCTAACATCTTGTTGCTACAAATGATGTGACAGTTACAGGTCACAAAGGCAGCTACAGGCTCCACTCTGTTGTGTTAAACAGCAGAAACATTACATTGGGTCTGTCAGTTTATGTACAGCAACAATTTTTAGACCAAACCTTTGTTTTGTGTTAATCAGCAAAACATAACATTGTGGTGTTTCAATTTACATACGATGGACCACTTTTGTGCATAAAATTGGAAAATTTCTATATTTGATGCATGACTGCAAGGGTAGATATATGGATTTACAGATTTTCTTAAAAATATCACTTTGCCCTGGCAAGCTGACTAGAAAATTGAATTTGCATCAAGAAAATTGAGCTTGCCTGAAAAATGTTCATTTAGAAATGGTTTCAAAATAGCTAGATTTCTTTTAAATTTAGAGAGATAGAGAGATTTATTTAAACAGCCAATAACAGAACTGCATTAATTCAATTTTAGTCATATTTTCGTACATAATCTTATTGTTGAACTTTACAATTAAAATTTAAATGGTTGTACAGATTGAATTATGTAGCCTTGAAGAAAAGAAGTTAAACATAGGTAAGTCACTGAAATATTCATACAATTTTAATCATGTGACTATTGTGTTCTTCTAGGGTACATATGTCCACTCAATGCTATGGGTACATATGTCCACTCAATGCTATGGGTATATATGTCCACCCATAATGCTTCTGGGTACATATGTCCACCCATAATGCTTCTGGGTACATATGTCCACCCATAATGCTTCTGGAGTACATATGTCCACTCATAATACTTCTGGGTATGTATGTCCACTCATAATGCTTCTAGGGTACATATGTCCACTCATAATGCTGGGTACATATGTCCACTCATAATGCTTCTGGGTTACATATGTCCACTCATAATGGTTCTGGGTACATATGTCCACCCATAATGCTTCTGGAGTACATATGTCCACTCATAATGGTTCTGGGTACATATGTCCACTCATAATGCTTCTGGGTACATATGTCCACTCATAATACTTCTGGAGTACATATGTCCACTCATAATGCTTCTGGAGTACATATGTCCATTCATAATGCTTTTGGGTACATATGTCCACTCATAATGCTTCTGGGTACTTATGTCCACTCATAATGCTTTTGGGGAACATATGTCCACTCATAATTGTTCTGGGTACATATGTCCACTCATAATGCTTCTGGGCACATATGTCCACCCATAATGCTTCTGGAGTATATATGTCCACTCATAATGCTTCTGGGTACATATGTCCACCCATAATGCTTCTGGGGTACATATGTCCATTCATAATACTTCTGGTATACATATGTCCACTCATAATGTTTCTGGGTACATATGTCCACTCATAATGCTTCTGGGTACATATGTCCACTCAATGCTTCTAGGGTACATATGTTCACCCATAATGCTTCTGGTGTACATATGTCCACTCATAATGCTTCTGGGGAACATATGTCCACTCATAATGGTTTTGGGTACATATGTCCACTCATAATGTTTCTGGTTTATGCATGTCCACTTGTCTGATTCAGCTAAATCGTGTTTCTCTTTGGGAAATTGATTTACTATCCTGTTTTTGCCTTTAGTGGTTTTGGGATATTTTCTGTTGTGGCTGCAGAAAATTAATTAATTTGCTGACTTGTGTTCTAGTCTTGGATACTCACTGTTATACAATGAATACTCACTGTTATACAATGAATACTCACTGTTATACAATGAATACTCACTGTTATACAATGGATACTCACTGTTATACAATGAATACTCACTGTTACACAATGGATACTCACTATTTTACAATGAATACTCACTGTTATACAATGAATACTCACTGTTATACAATGAATAATCACTGTTATACAATGGATAATCACTGCTATACAATGAATGCTCACTGTTATACAATGAATAATCACTGTTATACAATGGATAATCACTGCTATACAATGCATCAACACTGTTCCACAATGGATACACTCTTTTCCACAATGATTGAAATTTTCTTGCATGTTTAGCAGCATCAGTCAGATTTATTTTCAGTAACTCATTTAAACTTAAAACTCCATCAAGTACCTTTCTAGCCTAAATAGCAGTCATTTCATAAACTACATCAATAATGTGTGTGTATGTATGTATGTGTGTGTGTGTGTGAAAGAGAGAGAGAGAGAGAGAGAGAGAGAGAGAGAGAGAGAGAGAGAGAGAGAGAGAGAGAGAGAGAGAGAGAGATATTTGGATTTTTAACATAGCTTTAACAATTTTTCAGTCATATTGCTACAATGTCTGCAGTGTGGCAGTTTATGGTGATATCTAGCTCTGAAGCATCATTTTACAAATATAGCATCATGTCCCACCCAATAACATTATCTTGACACCAGGCCAACCGAGTCCTTACACTAACTTCTTAATGCTTAGCACATAGCGAAACAGCTGTTAGTACCATTTTTATGTCTTTGGTATGACTCAGTTGGGGTTTGAACAAATGGCCTCCTGCATCAGAGGCAGGTGCTTTAACCACTAGGCCACTGGAATGTTACATCAATAATAATGAAAGCTAGAATGTTTGTAATGATTAATTGATACTCTGATCTGAAAGATACCTGAACACTGATTTTATCAATTTAATTTACAATTAGCACATCTAGTCAGCTTGAAATCATTAACATGAATCAAATATTTTGACAAGCCAACCCTTGAGAGTGATTAAACTTTTTTTTATTCCCTGAATTGTTTGCTATGCAGTATTTACTTATCGATCTCCTTTTGATTGCCTCATAAACAACAGATAATAAATACCTTACCTGGTGGTTCATCCTTAGTAATGAATGCCTTTTATCTGCAAGCACACCTGTCAATGAAATTAACAATTAATACCATACTCACCTAAAGATGTTGACATTCATCAAAGCAATCTTTAGACTCCATAAGCTAACCTGAGGCTAGGTTAGAGACCCCCCAACATCAACTAATAATCCAGGCTATGTATAGATATTACAATTAATAGGTAATGGTAAGTTTGAATAGCAGCCTTTATTCCTTTTTTGTCAAAACTGGCTTCAGTTAGGAATGGAAGGCTTACAAAATCCAACTAAATGTTTCGGACTTGCCTGTGGGCAAGTTATGTGGAAACTTTAGCTTGCCCAAGCAAAATCTGAGCTTGTCCCAGGAGCTGGGCAAGTTGATTTGTAAATACCTGTTTATAAAATAAACCTTCAATATCTCTTTAAATCTGGGTACATGTAACTGTGTAGGTACAACACAAATCTCCATTATCATTTTATACATCAGTACATACTGTACAATTACAATATGAAACACAAACCTTCATTATCACTTTATATACTGGTATATACTGTACACTTACAAATGAAACAAATTTTCAATATCATTTTATATACTGGTACATACTGTACACATACAAATGAAACAAACCTTCAATATCTCTTCATATATTGGTACATACTGTACACAGGCAGATGAAACAAATCTTCAATATCACTTTATATACTGGTGCATACTGTACACATACAAATGCAGTATAAACCTCTAGTACACATTATGTGATGGTATGATATGCTGTTTGGAGCTGTATGGGTATGTTGGTTGCATGCTGAAAATCGGAAGTATATTCAGGCTTCTAGACAATGCTTTTGAACCATTGCGACTTTATAGTTGGTAAGATGGTTAGTATAGACCCCTCCTTGGTAAAATGGACATTATATACCCTTTGGTAAGAAAATAATGTTGTTATAAACCCCTCTTTGATTAGATGGACATTATGGTCATAATAGACCCCTCTTTGGTATGATGGCCATTATAGTCCCCTCTTTGGTATGGCATTCATTTTAGACCCTTCTTTGGTAGGAAGATCATAGTAGAAAGTTCTTGTTTCTTGGTAAGATGATCATTATAGACCCCTTCTTGGTAAGAAGGTCAGTATAGACCCCTTCTTGGTAAGAAGGTTATTATAGACCCCTTCTTGGTAAGAAGGTCATTATAGACCCCTTCTTGGTAAGATCATCATTATAGACCCCTTCTTGGTAAGAAGGTCATTATAGACCCCTTCATCGTAAAATGATCATTATAGACCCCTTCTTGGTAAGAAGGTCATTATAGACCCCTTCTTGGTAAGATGATCATTATAGACCCCTTCTTGGTATGAAGGTCATTATAGACCTCTTCTTGGTAAGATGATCATTATAGACCTCTTCTTGGTAAGAAGGTCATTATAGACCTCTTCTTGGTAAGAAGGTCATTATAGACCTCTTCTTGGTAAGAAGGTCATTATAGACCCCTTCTTGGTAAGAAGGTCATTATAGACCCCTTCTTGGTAAGAAGGATATTATAGACCCCTTCTTGGTAAGAAGGTCATTATAGACCTCTTCTTGGTAAGATGATCATTATAGACCCCTTCTTGGTAAGAAGGTCATTATAGACCCTTTCTTGGTAAGATGATCATTATAGACCCTTTCTTGGTAAGAAGGTCATTATAGACCCTTCATCGTAAAATGATCATTATAGACCTCTTCTTGGTAAGAAGGTCATTATAGACCTCTTCTTGGTAAGAAGGTCATTATAGACCTCTTCTTGGTAAGAAGGTCATTATAGACCCCTTCTTGGTAAGAAGGTCATTATAGACCCCTTCTTGGTAAGAAGGTCATTATAGACCCTTTCTTGGTAAGATGATCATTATAGACCTCTTCTTGGTAAGAAGGTCATTATAGACCTCTTCTTGGTAAGAAGGTCATTATAGACCCCTTCTTGGTAAAAAGGTCATTATAGACCTCTTCATGGTAAGATGATCATCATAGACCTCTTCTTGGTAAGAAAGTCATTATAGACCCCTTCTTGGTAAGAATATCATTATAGACCTCTTCTTGGTAAGAAGGTCATTATAGACCTCTTCTTGGTAAGAAGGTCATTATAGACCCCTTCTTGGTAAAAAGGTCATTATAGACCCCTTTTTGGTAAGATGATCATTATAGACCCTTTCTTGGTAAGATCATCATTATAGACCCCTTCTTGGTATGAAGGTCATTATAGACCCCTTCTTGGTAAGATGATCATTATGGACCCTTTCTTGGTAAAATGATCATTATAGACCTCTTCTTGGTAAGAAGGTCATTATAGACCCCTTCTTGGTAAGAAGGTCATTATAGACCCCTTCATGGTTAAATGATCATTATAGACCCCTTCTTGGTAAGAAGGTCATTATAGACCCCTTCTTGGTAAGAATATCATTATAGACCTCTTCTTGGTAAGAAGGTCATTATAGACCCCTTCTTGGTAAGAAGGTCATTATAGACCCCTTCTTGGTAAGAAGGTCATTATAGACCTCTTCTTGGTAAGAAGGTCATTATAGACCCCTTCTTGGTAAGAAGGTCATTATAGACCCCTTCATGGTAAAATGATCATTATAGACCCCTTCTTGGTAAGAAGGTCATTATAGACCCCTTCTTGGTAAGAATATCATTATAGACCTCTTCTTGGTAAGAAGGTCATTATAGACCCCTTCTTGGTAAGAAGGTCATTATAGACCCCTTCTTGGTAAGAAGGTCATTATAGATCCATTCTTGGTAAGATGATCATTATAGACCTCTTCTTGGTAAGAAGGTCATTATAGACCTCTTCTTGGTAAGAAGGTCATTATAGACCCCTTCTTGGTAAAAAGGTCATTATAGACCTCTTCATGGTAAGATGATCATCATTATAGACCCCTTCTTGGTATGAAGGTCATTATAGACCCCTTCTTGGTAAGATGATCATTATAGACCCTTTCTTGGTAAGATCATCATTATAGACCCCTTCTTGGTATGAAGGTCATTATAGATCCCTTCTTGGTAAGATGATCATTATGGACCCTTTCTTGGTAAAATGATCATTATAGACCTCTTCTTGGTAAGAAGGTCATTATAGACCCCTTCTTGGTAAGAAGGTCATTATAGACCCCTTCATGGTAAAATGATCATTATAGACCCCTTCTTGGTAAGAAGGTCATTATAGACCCCTTTTTGGTAAGAATATCATTATAGACCTCTTCTTGGTAAGAAGGTCATTATAGACCCCTTCTTGGTAAGAAGGTCATTATAGACCCCTTCTTGGTAAGAAGGTCATTATAGACCTCTTCTTGGTAAGAAGGTCATTATAGACCCCTTCTTAGTAAGAAGGTCATTATAGACCTCTTCTTGGTAAGAAGGTCATTATAGACCTCTTCTTGGTAAGAAGGTCATTATAGACCCCTTCTTGGTAAGAAGGTTATTATAGACCCCTTCTTGGTAAGAAGGTCATTATAGACCCCTTCTTGGTAAGAAGGTTATTATAGACCCCTTCTTGGTAAGATGATCATTATAGACCCCTTCTTGGTAAGAAGGTCATTATAGACCCCTTCTTGGTAAGAAGGTCATTATAGACCCCTTCTTGGTAAGATGATCATTATAGACCCCTGGGAGAAGTGAGACTGAAGCAAGAAATGTGAAAAATATATATATATATATATATATAAGATATAATATATATGATAATGCATTATCTTATTTATGTGCTCCCTTTCTCAGTATGCTTTTAACAGTTTTAAACAATATATTATTTTCAAGTTTATAAATGTCATACGTTTATTATCAACCCATTTTGTACATGTATACAAATTATTCTATTCATACACATTCTATTCATCATTCTTGTAGTATATGTGCTTGGACTGAGATACAAGCAAATTGGTAGGACTTAAAAGGCACAGCATAAGCTATACATTGTAATTATTTTTAACTGAAATCAGTAACAAGATTAGAGTCTTGTAATTTTAAGTTGGTAAAAATGCTTAACAAACTACAACTTAATTATTTTTTTTTTATTTTGTACAAGTTTTGTGTAAAATTGCAGTCAAAAAAGATTTGTAGCATTCTTTGAAACAATACCTAATTCATGTACATAGTAATAAATGCACAATCGACTTCAAAACATACTCTTTGTCCCAATTTCCTTGTTCTCAAAAAAAACCACTTTCACTTTTCCCTGTTTAGCTCCCACTTCTCCCTGTTCTGACCAAATGGAGAAGTCACTTCTCCCTACAATTTAGGTCTAGCTTGATCCCTGGTTAGATGGTCATTATAGACCCTTCCTTGACAAAGATGGTCATTACAGACTTCTAGTTGGTAATTTGGTCATTATAGACTCCACCCTGATAAGATGGTCATTACAGACTCCCAGTTCATAAAATGGTCATTGTAGACCCCTTCTTGGTTAGATGTACTACATGTATTCATTTGCAATATTGTTCAGATATTTAGGATCTGTTGGTATAATCATGATTCATGTTGAGTTAGGTATCCATAGATTTTTCTTGAATTCAAGTGTTATACCCCCCTCCATGTAATTCCTCATCTAAAATGTAATAAATGATCTAAAGTTTTGTCTCCATTTCATTTTGTGTGAATTGATTAGTAGGAAACCTCTAGTCTGGGACCAGTTTAAAATAATTCGAATCAGTCATTTCTCAACAGTTATTTTTTCAATGTCTTGGTACATCTGCTTGCTAT